GTATGTATGTATGCAGGTATGTATGTATGTATACATGTATGTATGTATGTTCCCTGAAAAGGGGGGAGGCCCTTATTTGAGAGGGGGGGCTTCATAAAGGATTTACGGTCATTTAGTCCCTTAATTTGTTTGGTCACTTTTGATTTTGTACTTTTTTCCCCTTAAAGATGAAGGTACGTGTCTTTCATTCAGTTTATTCGTCTAGGTGTGTGGACGGTGTGTGGACCGAGCCCAGATGTATCTTCTTTCAAGCCAAATCAACCCACCCGGCGGTCAACGGTTTTATTACCGTGACTGTAAAGGACATTTTGACACTGGTTCACAGTGTGTGACTTGTTTTATGAACTACTGGCTCTGCCCTCTTTCTACGTAATACTCAAGATATACCATCTGGTTTAGGTAATTGCGGGTTTTAAGTCTAATTTGGAATACGTAAGCACATAACTAAGTTACGACCGTTCACGAAACAGAGCCACCATGGATACATCCCGTTTTAAATTAAACGGAACTTTATTCGACAGCGACATTGGCCTTGTCTTCGATTTACCCAACCAAGACGCAAGGGCCGCACGGAGTCCCGGGATGGTTCTTAAAGAAGAACGCGGACAATTTTGGCTGCGCCCTGCATGGGCAGAAGGAAAAAATGTAAGAGCTATAACTCAAGCTCACCAACTGTGGTAATGATCAGAGTAAGATTATTTGCTCTTCAAACGAAAACTAATAATAAAAATAATAATCAATATCCGAGAATCGACCGAGGTACCGTACTTCTACTTTAAAACGTGCTAAAAGCTGCGCATGCACCGTGTAACGAAGCACATCCGGTACGTGCACCTAGTTAGGTTGATCAAACTTAACACCTGGATTTCTCCTCTGTTGTTGCTGTTTGTGCACAGTACAAGTACTAAGGTTACTAGAAATACGTGCATCGCAGAACCTCGAGTAGCTTTGGGTGGGGGGGGGGATGGCCCGTAAAAGTTTAGGGATGGGGGAAAGAGAAACTAACGTAAATTGAGTACTTGTTCGGGGAGGCGAGAGGGGAAGGGTCCGCACCGGCTCTAATGTTGAACAACCTCAATAACCGATGTTCAATCTTCTTTTGGTGGAGTAAATTGGTTCTCAGTCCCTGGCATTAAAATGAAAGGGATGAGATCTGGTACTGGTGAGTATTGGGTTGCTGATATTATTAAGTAATAGTAGCGAAAGTTGCAAAGGTCTCGGGTTCACCCCATGTGAATTGCTACTAATTTTCCAAAGGAAATGGTTGTAAAGCTGGATGACTGCAGGCCAAATATCCATATATTCAGTGGCATTTGTTCAATTTCTGAAAGATTAAGTACGGTTTAAGTGTATGTGGATTTGTTCATCAATCTGTATAACGGAATATTTATTCAAAAAAATATTCTGCGTGAGAGATCCCCGATACATATACATTTAAGTGGGAAACCTGCCTCACTGTTATCAGCAGATAACACAATAAAGCATTGGAGACAATAATTACAAACAAAGATGTTTTATTTTATTACTTTCTGACTTAGCGTCCATCATTCTGGGAAGTAAATATAAAGAATTATAATTAAATACCCTTATTATTCATTCAAAATATTTCCCCCGATTCTGATTAGCTAAAAGCACACGCATAATTCACCATAACCAGCTCCTGATGACCAAATTTGGAAAAATTTTGCGTTTAATGAACCGATGGCGTCAAAAGTGCACCTTCTTGCAGGTTAATGCACCGTTAACGGAGAGGACCTGGGGACGGGGTTCAGTTGTTTTGAAATGACTGACATTTCACTCGTTTCAAGAGTAAGAACTAGGCGAAATTATAGCTAAGAGCATGGCAAGGACAGCAAGAACACAACTCAAAGGGCGACATCTGGAGATCTGGAGAATATTTGGGAAGCTCAACAACCCTAAACGTGCACTATCGAAGATGAACTTAACATCGATGGAGGTAAGCATGTTTTAGCTTTGTTTTTAAACTGAGATTTATTTTGAATAAATAATAAAACAATTATTGAATTCGGCTTTCGTATCATATTAAGGATTTTGAGAGGGTAATAAATTCTTCATAAGATACTCAGCCTCATTCATTAATTGTTAATTAAATCAGCACAGCCTTATCGTAAATAAGCTTAGGCTGCAAGAATGTAAGTATTTGAAAAAGCATTCCAGTGTCATTAATGATTAGTGACGACATTATTACCAATTCACTTGCATGTAAATGGTGATTACAAACGTCATTCGCAAAGACTATAAGCATTTTACAGTACTCCTACAATCAGCATAGGGAGCAATGGCATCACTGCTATTTTCTAGCTGATTCTAAATTTAGTTCCCTTAGCTTTCTTAAATCAGTGAACGCAAGGAGAAGGAAAGTAATAGAAAGGGAAAGTAAATACAAGGCGTATTAATATTACTGCAGTTCCAACGATATACGTTTGGAATGAGGAATAACCTTGGAAACATTCGAGTCGTAAATCACAGCATCAAAGTCTTTTCGAATTTCCAACCCGCGAGTTGTTTCATTTTGTTCATTTAGTGTTGTTAATGACTGGTTAATTATCTGTCATATCATTCAAAATCGTCTTCATCTTTGTCACGTTTGGCATATTTAGAAGTTAGGAACTAATCTACTTACACCTTTGATGAAGATCTAAAATGGCTAATAATTAAACATTTTGCTTTGCCACTAAAAAGACGACTTTGTGCCACCAGTAACCATAACAAATAAATGTAACCAACGTCTAAAATGTTCTCAAGAAACAAAGGTAAAGAGGAGAAAAATACAGAAAGCAAAAATAAAAGGCTTACGACTTAGTTTGATAAAGTACATAAATCGCTGCAGAGTCAAGTGAGTATCAAAAGCAAAAACTGACAAACCTATCTGCTAACTCGGAGACAGTTTACCTGACCGCCCCCCGGTTAGCTTAATTGGATAAGCGCCGGTCTGCCGTGGTGTCGGGAGGTCGAGGGTTCAAAGCCTTGGCGGATCGACACTCAGGGTCTTTAAATAACTTAAAAGCAGTGCGCTGCCGTTGTTCTGACATCTACATTCCCAAACGTTTAGACATTCTAGTTTTCTCAGACAAGGACGAAAGGCCCAGTCTCTTTCGCAGCAGACGGATTGTTGAAGAACATAATCACGCTGCTGCTCATGAAGCCTAGAGGGCGTAGACCCTGATGGACTACCCTTTATAGGTTGGGTGGATATCAATTGGGACGCATGCACAAGTCCTGTCTCCACGGTTATTCGAGACGAGACCTTAGAATAAGACTGAGAAAGATAATGCACTTAATCATAATTAGTATTTAACAAATCAGTGATTAACAATTTTCGCTCGTTTTGATTGGTTCCCGTAACTCGGAATATCCTTGGCTATTCACTGTTCTGCGACCGGAGACAAGATGGCGTCTCGTTTCGAGACATTTTCGAAAGACGAAATTTGAGTGATAGATGAAGGGGTCGTACAAACAAATACCAAGAAACTGACGACCTTTGGCTTGTCGGTGTTTACTGGTGGGTGGAAAATTATTTCCATGCCGAATTTGCAACAAAATCACAAAAATGCTCTTGACAATATCCCGAAATGTTTGTAAATAGTAAACCAAGTTCCTACTAAGTGACGTTTTTAATTGACAAAAAGTTACTTTTTTCACTTTTATCCAACTGATTTGGTAACTACTAAAAGAACTATCGCCCGAACACCGCTAGATATACACCTCGACGCGTCGCGTCTCGGTATATTTTCCACTACCACTATTCACCTTCCCTTCGGGAGATAGTTGTATACTATAGCCAAGTTGTCAAATCTGATTGGAAATCAGCTGTCCAGATTTTAGCATTATAGGTCAGTGTAATAGGGTACGTTGAGTATGCGTCATGCCTGAGTAATTAGACAGTACTCGCCATCAGCAGTGAGCGCACCCAAAAGTGCGTGTTCTTTTAATGCTAGCAAAAAATCTCGGAATGACCGGAATATACTGCGTATCAGTAATTTTAAAACAGCTTTTATTATCACAAATGTTGTTGTAGTTGTCTGGTCTCGTCATACTCGTGATTAAACAAATAGGGCTACCGTCGTCCGATTTGTTGGGCCTTTTTGGTGTTGCGATTTGTTTAATCACTCGTATGATTAGAGACCGAATTGGACTCCACTGAGTCCTATCACCATTATAAAAAAGCAGGTCCAACAACAGGGAATTTTTTTCTTGTGCAGAATGAACAGTTTTAATTAATTTAATCAACAATAAGAAAACAAAGAAGCAATTTGCAGGGGGATTGCAAATTGAATACAAAAAGATGCCGTAACGTAACTAATTGCTTTAAGCACTAATTTTACTCAATCTGGTTGCACTGTTGCTAATATTGTAAGCTGAAATGTAAAAAATAGCCAAAATATAATGTTTACACAAATAACTGGGCACATTTTGTGACACCTTTAGCGGGTGCACCGTGAACTATATACTACCAAGTGCAGTAGCATACGAACCATTCATAAGAGTTGCTGAGTGCTACTGTAAACTAGGGGTAGGAAGCTTAAACAGTCAGTGGTAAATGTTCGCATTCTTACTCGCAAGCGAAAGTTTGTAAACGTATAGTAACTATACATTTTGATGTGCTTAGGCCTTCCGCCACAAAAAAAACCATTAAAATAGAAACGGTGACCGAAAATATCGTGTGCACGTGTGCTGGTAGCATGCGCTTAGAATTACAGTTACAGTTCCATCTCTTTCGAACGGTTTAGTGGGGACAGTCGAAAAGCATCAATCAATGCGTTTTCAGTGACAACGAAAATGACTACTTTTGAAAACGCATGAGCGTGAACTGGGCTTAAACGTGTCGAGAATTGAATTATAAAAGGGAGCACTTTGTCGCCACTCAGCTATTTTCTTACAGCTACATTGTACGCCTATTTTCTTATTTGCCTTTTTTGGTATCTATTCTAAAAGTGCGGAGATTTTATCAAATCCAAAGAACTGCATTGCAAAAACGATTAGCAAGATGTAGTATCTTGTGGGCTCTGTCCTTTGGGTAAGTAATTAATGGAATGTCCAGTCTTTGGTTGGGACTCGTGTTCCCCATTACATACATTATTGTCGGCAACATCGGATTCTTGGAGTGCTTCGTTAATGTGGGATACTTGTTGGCTCTTGACTGGATTATAACTGAGTTCTGATTTACTTGGCTTCTTATCATTTGTCTTTTTCCCAAGTGCTACACCAGACGGTTTCCCAGGCAATGATGGATAAATAGGAGATGCTGGTTGATCGTAGATCGGGTTATTAACAGATGGAATTGTCTTATGCTCAATCTGGTCCGGAGAAGACGAACCGACATACTCGCTTTTTTCTTCCATTTCCACGGCTTGCTCAACGGCATGAATGTGATCGTTTGCTCTGGAAGAAGTATTCATAGGCTCCTTATGTGTAGTATCGCGGTGCTCTAAATCTCCTCGGCTTTCCAAACGTCTTTTATGACTGAATCTGGAGAAATGCAATTTAATAATCAATACATAATGACAAATTTTATTTTCAGACCACCTTCTTCACTAAGAGCAAACGACAAACATTATGAACAGCATTTGAGCGCGTTAGTGGAAAAAAAAACGAAAAACACGCGCGAAACTAGAAGTACCTGCCAGCCTTTTTGCATCCGATCAGAGCGGCAGCAATAATGATTAAGAGCAGTCCACCACCCAACGACGCCCCGATAATAACGTTCAGTGGTTTTGACTGTCCGTCGTTTTCCTTGTCGCTTTCCCCGTCGTTCAGTTGCTCTGGTAAGGGATCGGCACTTAAGATTTCACCTCCAATAGAAGTTTGAATGTTCTCTTTGTGGTCCATCACGATCTTACTCAATACTGTCCCAGGGACAATACTGCTTTCAGAAATTCCTTGTGGAAGACTCAAGTAGAAAGCCAGTAAGATTACACCAGGAGAATCGTCTGACTGTTTGGGATAACCAGGAAGAATTTGAACCATGTCAGCCGTAAATGTGACGTTTACAGACGAGCGCCTTCGTCTAAAAAAAAATAAAGGTATCATACATGTAAATAATGATAAAATGAAAACGAAACAATATAAAGGTAAGATCATGAAAAATAAAGATTAACAAACTGGCCCAAATAATTGTGGTTATGATGATGATGATGACAATGGCCGATTTAAAAACAATATTTTATTTTTAATAATGCTCTTATTGCTTTCTTCTATAGATGCTGTTTGTTGCCATTAATAATTAAAATGTTAAATTAGAGCTATTGTTTATAAGAATGGAAACATGAACGAGGAACCTGACGAAAGCCTTTGGCAAGGATTTAAAGGGAGAAATGTTTACAAAAGGACTTTAATGAAGATGTGATCGCCACTCCAGTGGTAATTGCAATTTAAGCAACTGCAAACCTAACGAAAGTAAATGTTCGCAAAATGATTTTAAGGACCATTTAAGCGCCATTTTATCATGGGCGTTAGCTCTGTTCCCGCTTTTCGCCCAAGCTATAGAGCTTTTTCACTTATGTGGCCAGCAGCTATGTGAATTTATTGCGACAAAAGACAGCATTTACATAATTCAACCTGTAACATGTGGGTGCTTTAAATGCGTTAAACGTATATCGAATTATTTAAAATTCGATTGTTATCTAGTGATTGATTTAATCGTTCATTCGTGTCTGGCAAACAAAAATAAACAAAAACCATTCACCTTGATTGATTTGGAAAACATTGAGCTTTTGCACAATATTCCCTCGCTGCTGCTGCAACTCGGTTTTTGAAAGACTGTTCCATGTTTTGGTCCCACTGATAAATAATAACAGCAAACAAAAACACTCCGACATGAGTAAAAGGCAGAACAACAGCAAACGAAAGCAAAAATACATACACCTTATTCGATGGTTTAGCATATAATACGTGCGGATACGAGCAATGAACAAAATGTCCGCTCGTATTATATGCTAAACCATCGAATAAGAGGTTTATTATTCCACTACAAAAAAAAAAAAAAACAAACAAAAAATCTGGCAATTGGCTTCTATTTTTTGGTAAGAGTATTCAGACACATCCTGATTCTGTCTGTGAGAATGACGTTAACAATTAGCAAAATTTTCGCGCGTATTATATGCCAAACCATTGAATGAGAGGTTAATTATTTTACTGCAAAAGAAAAATGGTATTTTGGCTTCTATTTTCTAATGAGAGTATCCAAAACATCCTGATTCTGTCAGCCACAGTTGCTCCTTTTGCATCCGCCGGTATTCGCCCTGTTGTAAACCGGTTAAACCAGGACACTACGGTGTATTACGGCCTCGTATTCTGCTTGTTGTCTGGACCTTATATGGTAAAATGACATAATAGTGGAATAATAAATAATAGTAATAACTACTACTAATAACGATTTTTTTATCCTTTAAAGAGGTAAATGTTATACCATAGAAATCCAGGGAATCTTGATTTAGACTATGAAAATTCCCGGGGGTGAGGAATTTCTCACCTGATCCTTCTAACCTCAGGTATATTTTAAGGCATGGCTCTGCTATTTTTTTATCTTTTATTTTATTTTCTTTTTGCTCTGAAATATAAGGGTTTGGTCTATCTTCAAAAGAAAGTGCGTAGCAAGGGTGAGTCGTGGACATTGCATTATCCTTGTTGAGATTGACATCACCATGGTAACTTGTTGCGTGACCAAGTAAAGCTTCACTTCCTTATTTTTTCCTTAAGGATTCTGCAGGCAGGGTGGAAAACGTTTATTGAGCACTTTTATTGGTTATGTTTTTACCTATCTAAAGTGCTTTCCAAATGTAACTTGAATGGTGGTTTGCCTACTTTTAATGAATGTTTTCTAGCCATCACGTGACAGAAAAATCGTAATATTTCAATAAACACGTGACCTGGACATGCCTTCCAGTTAGTTTCGTGCAGATCCCGAAACGCGAAACACTTTAAGCGCTAATTGTTAAGTTAAAAATTGGACACCTAGATGAGTCACAACTTTCAATTTGTAGTTCCCTTCACCACAAGAAAAGATTTCGTTGGAAGTTGGAATTTTTTGCTATTTCTCTCCCACTTTTTATATACAGTTCATTCTATTTGCCGGAAAGTAAGCCTTAGAAATTAAAGGTTTCATCAATTCACGCTCGCGTGTTCTAGTCCTTTTTTAAACTTTATAGACGGACATCTGTGAGCAAGGACTAAGTCAGCAGAAAATTTGATCGTCGGCGAATTTCTGTAATCGTCCATTGTTCTGCTAGTGATAAGCTAGCCGCTGATTTACTCGTCTTCCTTTTTTGGGACTGAGTCTTATTCCTCCAAAGAGAGAGAAAGAGTGTCTGGGAAATCGTTTCCAGTCAAGGATTTGTGAACTCGTGTCTGGCAAACTCTCCAAGCGTTTATATAAACGCTGAGTTATGCGCACGTTATAACTTCACCTGCGCTTAACGGATGTCTTTTGGTCCATAACTTTTAAAAACAGCTGGTCCACCCAGTGTCATTGATAACACGTAACGCTGATAAATGTCACAAAATTTACCAACGCGTTCCCTTCGGGATTTTTTGTTTTACGTCATCATAACCATCTCTTACTTTCTGGCATACACTGACTGTATACTTCAAGTGTAAGTACTTGCGGTTAAAATATATTTCGCGCGAGTTACTAGAGTGCCTCCTCGTGATTTCGCTCTCTGCGTGAAATCCCTGCAGGGGCAATTATTAACGGTAAGTCACTGAGAACCATGGGGGTGGTATGGCCGTACACGACACAAGTGATGCCATCTCAAAAACCAGTGAACTTCAATTACTTCATTCAGTAAAAAAAAAAAAACATGTTAGAAGAACGCTTATAAGAACATGACCATATTACACTAAACACCACAATATATTGTATAACAAAGCAACATATAGATAACCGGAAGTTTATTCATGAGCCGACGACAATCGTGTTATATAAAATACTGTGCAAGCTGTGAAAACAGCACTCAGCCGACCGCAAAAAAAAGATCATCAATTCTTGCTTTGAAACTCCGATTAACAGTAAAATAACTAACCGCTTGCTTTTACTCGGAGCCCCCGCGAAAAAGTCTCGAGAGGCCACTCTCATTATCTCAGAAACTGCTTGCTTTTGGAACCCAAACTGACTTTCCGTTTCCTTTTGTGGGGAGGTGAGGTGGAGTATGGATATTTTCTGGAACTACACAGTCAGACTTAATATTTACAACGCGCTTAAACTCTCACGTAAGTTTCGTGTCAATACGTTACACATTTACGGAGATAGAACACCCCCTTCATTTTTTCGTGTCTCTTTTTTTTTTACTTACTTACTTTAGATGACTCAGTCCTTAATTTACCTAGACCATCCGTAAAGCAGTGCAGATATCTTTTTTCGAAGCTTACAAGCCTCCGTTGTTATTTTTCTACTTTAAAATACCCACAGTTCCTTTTAAGGGTGGGTACATAATAGCGAGCTAGCAACTTCCTGTAATATCAATTTAAAAAATAATAATAATAATGATAATATATAATAATAAAAACAATTAGCTGCAGTGCCCAGCATGGACAATCTATTTTGGGTACTACGAAATTCACTGACATGAAAAGAACTACCTTTTCTAAATCCATATTATTGACCTTCAACATAACTGATTCTCTCATCACTTGTTCTGATGGCGTTTTTATAACGGGTGAGTTAGTACTTGGTTGTAACGTTGAACCATCTGCAGTTGGCGTTGTGGAAGCATTTTGTTTTCCGGCTGAATAAGTGCTTGGCGGCAACGTTGAACCATCTGCAGTTGGCGTTGTGGTAGCATTTTGATTTCCGGCTGGATAAGTGCTTGGCGGTAACGTTGAACCATCTGCAGTTGGTGTTGTGGAAGCATTTTGATTTCCGGTTGGATAAGTGCTTGGCGGTAACGTTGAACCATCTGCAGTTGGTGTTCTGGTAGCATTTTGATTTCCGGTTGGATAAGTGCTTGGCGGTAACGTTGAACCAGCTGCAGTTGGTGTTGTGGTAGCATTTTGATTTCCGGTTGGATAAGTGCTTGGCGGTAACGTTGAACCAGCTGCAGTGGGCGTCGAATGAGCATTAGCTGAAAGATGTAAAGTATGGAAAGGTTAAAGCTAGAGAAGGGTTATGTTAAAGTAAGGAAGGAGGTTAAACCCAAATATTTTTTTGGTGCATCAGCATGGCCCCCGTCTGGTTGTTTTGGCACACCAATATGGCCGCTGTTATCATGCGCAAACGACTTAGAAAATGAATAATAACAATAATAAAAATAATAATAGTAATAATAATAATAATCCTATTTACAATTAAGTTGCTTGAAAAAAAGAAAAAAAAACTATTCATTCAAAACACTATTTACAATTCCTGTCGATTTAAAAAGCACTTAATTTAGCTTAGAAAGATTTAAAAACATTTCATTTCAATAAAATCTAAAATTCAAAATTGTCTTTCAACTGTTTAAAATAACTGTTTTAATAATAATAATGATAATAATAATAATAGTGATACACAATATAAATTCTGTAAAAACGGATTTTTTTAATGCTTTCTTCTCCCTTCCGCATACATGCCATTTTGAAACTCGCCCCAGTCCTGTCTCAAAAATTGGAGGAAATGCAGTTGGTGCGCAGTTTCTGCAGCTCTACCACAAAAAACGAGTAAGGTGACCCCCATTTTTTATTGCCTGATTTTAATAAGAATAGTGCTTTCTTTCAATGGGAAAATATTGACTTAAACCTTTGTTCAGTTTTTTTTAGCAAATCTACAGAATCGTTAATCGTCGGGTCAACTAGCGCGTGTCTAATTTAAGGTCACTTTGGAACGTTAAGTAAGAAAAAGGACATTAAAAGGCACGTAAGTGAATACATGGTACGTAAGTGACTAAGCAATACATTTAAGTCAAATTCTGTGCAATACATCATGTATCAAGGAAGAAATCTCTCCTTTTCAGTTTGTCTAGTTTTGGGCTGCGCGCAGTTTTTTCCAAAGGATCCTAAATAGCCGTATTCGTCAGCATTGTGTCGTGAAAACGAGCACGGTCACCCCCACTTTTTATTACTAACATATGTTGTCAATAATATGTTAGGTTGTTTTACGCATAGTAAGGAATCACCTAACCAAACTACCCAGTAAAAGTACTTTTTAGCGGAGCTCCACGCGCGCGCGAAGCGCGCGTGTGGGCGGAGCCCCATTGCTAAGTAAATCTACCCATCCCAGAAAATTTGGTAATCACGTGACCGTACAGCGACCGACCGCCCGCCGTCCGTCCGCACCACAGGAAAACCAATGTTTACTCTCACACTTTTAGCTAGTTTGGGAGCCCAAGAGAAAACTAATTGCACAGGCTGCACATCAATGTTGTGATCAATTGACAGCTATCAAAACAGGGCATCCGCTGACAAGTATCACCTGACCGTACCGCGGGCTCAAGTGTCGACCCATCGAGGTCGAGTATTTTTTAAAGTTATCCGCTGACAAATTACCAGTTTTAAATGATCGCAGGCTCAAGTTTATTTTTTCCAAGGATTCATATCAAATATGTTGTGTTTATGTCACTATGGCCCCGCACTATTAGGATTTTGATTTCAAACTGACCTCGGAAGCAAAAATTCATCCAGTTTTTTTAAAAGTACAGGTGGGGAAGACCTTATCTTACCATGGTCACGCGCTGGTCACGCTCTACGTCCAATTTTTATACTCCGATTGGTCAAAATTTGACAGGTGAGTTTATGCGGAAAAATTATTCAGCATCTTGGAAGTAGTTTACTTTGACAGCTGAAGCTTTGACAGGTGA